TTTTTATTAATAATTTTAGTGTATTTATTATTATAAAAATCTTTGCCAATAATGGGACCTATCTATAATTATATTTTTATGTATTATATAATTTCGCTTAATGTTACTCAGCTTTCTACCACTGTGACTGCTGGCGAGTTTCGCAACTTTTGCCTTACCTCTGGCTTAGTTGTTGTTATTATCGTTGTTGTGAATTACGGTAGAAGGCAACAGGCGATTCCAATGGCATTCAGGCAACGGCAGAGGCTGAGGCAGAAGCAGAGGCTGAGGCCGAAGCCGCGGCAGAGGCAGCCAGTCGAGCAGGCAGACGCTTGACAGGCTCAGGCTTCAGTCTTCGCGCCGTGGTGCATTTTGTTTTTTGTTTTGTTTTTTTTTTTTTTTCGGGTTGATCCTACAGAGCGAAACTCTCTTTAAGCAATTTTCGTAATATTAGCCAGGAAGTTGGCGTTGCTGTTGCCTTTGTCTTTGCCGTTTGCCGTTTGCCGTTTTCGTTTGCCTTTGCAGAATTGGCTTTGCCAGTGCCATTGCTTGGCATGCCAGCGACCTTATAAGGCCTGGACTGGAGCAACCCTAGCCGAGTGCTGGACACCAGGTCCAACTGGTTTTTRCTGCCTTTTGGTATTCCTTTTGCATTTTGGTAACTCTTTTGGCCTGGGCCGCCAAAAACAATGCCGCCTGTGGCTGAGATAAAAAGCTGTTAGCTTGTAGCTTCTGCATTTTGCAGAGCGGCGGCAGGAGAGTGAGAGCAGATAGAGGGGAGAGGGGAGGACTGTCGGGGAGTGCCTCAATCAGAAGATATATGTAATGACTTTTCGAGGTTTTTGTTTTGCTCGTCAGAGTTTGTTTGTGTTTTTGTTGATTTAGCAATTGGCTTCTTGGAAATGTGCCGCCAGAGTTCAATGCGCAGAGCGAGACCACTGACTGTATTAGAGTGAAAGAGATAGACTCTTTAATATATAGCCTATATGTAAATTGTTAGTTTAAACATGAACAGCTGTCGGCTAACTTCTTTTCAGTTACTTTCAATGAATATGATGGAAAAATCATGTTACACAGTCAACTGTTAAATGCTACGGCCACCCCCACCCCCATTTACAGCTACAGTTACCCCTCTCCCCCCAGCCCATACACCTCGTCTCGCTCTGCAATTTGTGCGCGGTGTCGGTGCGTCTGACGTCTGATTGATAAGCGCGCTTCGCCTTATCTAAATAATATTTAATGCACGACCAGGCCGCTCCAAATGGAGTGTGTCTAAGTGTGTGTGCGACTGTGTGTGTGTGTGTGTGTNTTTTTATGTATTATATATTATTCACAATATTTTCTACTATACCCAATAATCATATCCTTCTCATATTATACAATTACTAGAAATTTGTCAATATATTCGAAAATCTCCATAATACTTAAGACACCAACTTTAAGCATATGTATGCTATTCAAGATTTTTTCTTCCAGCTGTCAAAACGAAATTCCCTACCCGAAACAACTACAATAGGTATAAAGTAGCAACAATCCCACATTGATAGCGAGAGATGCGCGTAAAAATTTATTTTTATTATTATGTAAAATATATCAGACAGGAGCAGTAGCAGCAATGGCAGACAGTAGAAAGTCAAAAATTCAATAGATGCATGGCTGGCAACAAATTGCTTTGTTTGTCGACCTTCCCATTGAATTCGAGTGGGAATTAGTTGAGGGAAAGCGCCCACACGCTTATCAAATGGGGTTGGCACGGCGACAGGATGCAAATGCCAGTTGATAAGGCGTTAAAAATGTTTTGCCAAAAACCAATTTGCCGAGCAGAAAATTTGCATATGAGTGTGTTATATGTATATATGTTATATACTGGCAGCTGGAAGAAGTACGTAATCAAAGGGTTGCGTACGGCCGGAAGCGAAGGGCGTGAAAATTTATTGCAGGTTGCATTAAATTTAATTTGAAGCGTGCGCGGAAACTTTAAAATGTGGCGCTCTTTCCGTGATACAAAAAGCTATTTTGATATGTTGATTGAGTTACCTGTGTGCTCTTATCATTGGCGCCCCTTCATTTCCTCGATTTGCTTGAGCAGCAACTGCATACGATCCTTCATCAGGGGCTGGCCACGCTGTGTGCGCTTGCTGATGACTTTGGTCTTCTCCAGGCGCTGCTTTTTGTACGCCTTGATGCGTGCCTCCTTCTCGGCCTTAATCTTTTCACGTTCCGCCTGCGCTGCAGCAGCCTTTTGCTTCCGTATCATATTTCGTATTTCAGGTTTATTTGGTTTCTTGTCCTAATAAACAATGCAAATTGTATACGCCTCGCCGACTTGTTGTTATACAGTGTTTTTTACATACCGATTTCTGTTGTTTTTTCTTGAAGTTGGGCTTCTGTTTTTGACCAGCCCTTGCAGGCTTTTTATTAAATTTTCCCAAATTTTTTTGCGGTTTTGGTTTCATTGTTTTCTTTTTGTAAATAAGTTTATAAACACAGCGGCACGTGTGGAAAACAGCTGATTACAAACATTTCATTACTTTACAGCACTACTATTGGAAACTTTATCGATAATCGTGGTATTTTTGGTCAAATTTGGCGCATTTATACAAATGTCACTCGCGTGGACCAAACATATTTCTATTCAGTTTGAACTGCAATGAGTTTGACAGAAATTAAACAGAAAGAAGGCAAAGCTAAGAAGAATGTGCTGCCCAAGCTGCGCACTCTATTGGCCAATCCATATAAACAGCACAGGTAAGTCAAATGTAATTTCGCACACAAAGTCCCCAAACTAAGCTAAATAATTCGTTCCAGCCCCGTGCTGCCCGAAAGCGAGTTGCTGGAACTGCAACAAATATTTAAATCTACTTTAAATGAAAGTGCTCATACACAGCAAAAATTTGTGACCCAGAATCACATACACCTGGGCTTGGAAAGCTCACTACGGGCTATTAATGGACGGCGGTTCTCCTGCGTTTTCATTTCTCTCAGCTTAAGGCCTTCCCACCTAGTGCGTCTTATTGCAACCACAGCTAGTGTCAAAGTTCCAACAGCTCCCATCTATGCGCAACCCAAATTGGAGGATCTCACACATGAGATATTTGGAGTACGAGCGTTAGCGCTAGTATTGCCGATAGACCTAAACAGCATAAGCTCCAAATTGGCCAAATGGGTGGAAGTCCGAAAAAAACCTGTGGTCAAAAAAGTCGTAAAGCCTGCCTCCAAAAAGACTGGAAAGAAACGCAAGGCGATAGAACAAGTTCTTATTAATACAGAAAATGAACCACAAGCGGTAAAGACAGCTCCAACAGAAGAAAAGGAATGGAGTGGTGATTACATATCGTGTGCAAGTGATGGAGCCGTATTAAGGATTAGCCAATTGGATGCGCAAACAGAGGCGGAGCAGTTAAGCATAGCGCTTAGCAAGCTTGGCAAGAAAAGTGCAAATAAAACAGAAATACCGGATGTCAAAAATACGAAACCGGAAGAAGACAATGAAATAATAACATTGGCAGCTAATGAGCCAATGGAAGTAGATACAGCTGAGGCTGCCGAAGACGATGAATTTCTGCCTGCTGAGCTGACAAATTATCAGCCGTTAACTCAGCATCTGATCTGTGCGAATCCAAACAAGAAACCCAAAAAGAAACGAAACAAAAACAAAAAGCAAACAAACCAACCGCCACAAAAAAAATCCAACTGATGGTTGGCAACGCCAACAGCTAAAACAGCTGTTGAATTTTAGGTTATGTATCGTTTGTATATTATTTTATTGTTATCGTAATTTTAAAAGGCCGCATAAAAATGCTGCGCAGCATACGGCAAATTGTACGAATACGGAAATGTTTAACTCCACCGCTATTTAATTTAACCAATGCAACAACAGCAACGGGGACACTGAGAGTGGTCAAACAAGCATCGTTGCATACAAGTTCAGTTTCATATAAATATGACAAGAAATCATCGCGAAAGTCGGACGACATTGACTCGGATGATGAAGACGATGATGAATTTAAAGACGAACGTGATTCCAAAGTAGTTAAAACGAAAGTGAACTCATTGCGTGCGGATTTAATACTAAAATCCGGACTAGGCTTGGCCAGAAAGTAAGTATTTCATACAACAAATTGCGCTCAATGAAATGAACTCAATATTTATAGCAAAGTGGAACAGAAATTCTATGAGAGCAAAATCCGCGTAAATGGAAAGAAGTTGATGAAAAAGAGCGAGCAGGTGAGTTAAGATCGTCAACAGCAACCGATTTTGTCACATAATGCTATTCTTAATTCTATCTGCAGCTCGAGGTTGGAGACGAGATTGATGTAATACGCGGCTACAGTCAGACGAATCCCTCTCATTTGGTTATCGCACGTGTTATTATACTCTCTGCCGGAGAGCGTGATGACGGACTCAGTGTTAGTTTGCGTCGCTATAAATCGCTGCTGATCGAGAACTACAGCGGCCCAAATGCCTACAAATCATCAGAGCCCGTGCAACACTAAACCGCAGAATACGAATAAATATAATCAACAAACACCATTTTATGTGGCATGCCTTGTATTTACATTTATGTGACACAAACACGTCTTAATCAATTATTTCATGGATTGTTCCTCTTGCTTATCAGCTCCGAATTACGTCGTTACCAGACGCGGCATTTGCTCGCTATCGGATGCATTGGACTGCCACGCTCGCAATGGTATGCTTGCGCAAAGTCGTCGTTGTTGGTGACGGCACCGAGCACCCTATACTTGTCCATGGGATGCTCGTCGGTTAGCTCCTCCCAATAGTGCTTCTCCTCGTAGTCGGCACACCAAAGCTGCGCAAAGCCAAGGAAGAACAATTGCTCCGGCGACAGATCCAGGCCAGGCATCTGCTCATCCCGATCCACATACGAGGCATTATTCTCGCCATTCAGTTGCAGCTGTTTCATGTGATTGCGATATGCACTCATAGATTCGCGCAAACCTCCGCTGTCTGCAATACTCTCGTCCTTTGTCTGATTGCCGTTAATGTTGCGATTGATTTCCGGTATAAGATAGTTATTGAAATGATCCACAAAGCACATGGAACGCTCGTTGAACACCTCGCCCGACTTTTTCGACCACCAATAGCGTGATGTACCATTGCTATCGTACGTGGCCCCAATAGTGTCAAAACCATGGGTCAACTCGTGGCCCACCAGGTAGCCGAGGGTTCCAAACTTCAGTGAGTTTGGCCACGCTTGATCGTAGCTCGGCGGGTGGAGTATGCCGGCCATAACATTAATGGAGTTGTCCAAATTGTAATAGAAGGCATTCACTTGCATGCCCACCAGCAGCTCCAGCGGCTTCGTGTCATTCGTCAGGCTCTTATGATGTATGCCGAGATAACGCTTCATATAGGTGCTAAAGCGCTTCAAATTTATATTATTTTCCGGAAAATTATTGGGTTTAACAGTCAGATTACTTATTGCACGTATCAGACTTTCTGAAAGATTTTTATCCTGGAATGCACCGATGCGAGTGACAATTGTTGACTCCTTCAGCAGCGCCTCCTTACGCGTCTCCGCGTCCAACCAATTGGCATTATCAAGAAACGTGAGATGACTCTTGCGCAGCTCCGAAATGATGTTGGCAACCTCGGCACTTGCCTCTTCCGTGAAATATTTCTAAGCAAACAGGAAAGCTATTAAATTGGATACAGTGGAGTTGAGGCAATACGAACCACAAAGTAAAGCTTGTCCAGCAGATAGGGCATCGAGTATTGGATCGTAAGTATGCAGTGATCTCGCTGATATTTAGCAGCCTTTAACTTGGCGTCCATGGTGTAAAGCAACTTCATGGCCATATAGTTGGCGGCGGCCACTTTGTGCTTGGCGCACACCTTATCCAGCTCGTAGTAGAAAAAGTCACAGTAGCGCTCAGCTGGATACGGGTCAAAACGTAGGTTATTCCAAGAAATCTCATAGTATTGCTTCCATTGGGGAAATGGCTCTGTGAAAAATTCATCCGTCAGCAGATCACACTTGTCCGAATCCTCCTCGAAGCGATCTGCGATCTTCAGGACCTCACGCCAGAAGGCAAAAATACCGGCAATGACCTCGACAATCTTCTCTTCGGGCAGGCCGTAAGCCTGCAGATAGCCTCGCATGCGCTTCTCATTGAGCTTGTAGCCTTTGGTGTCATTGGTGGCGATGTTGTCGCTGTGCACAATATAGTCGAAGCCCAACTCGGGCAGCCTGAAGTATGGCATGAACGGATATTGCTGCAGGTGTTTTTCATAGATGAGCCCTTGGGCGCCATAGTTGGTCAAGTGGGAGCTCATGTTGAACCAGCTGAAATTTGAAGCCAGCCAAGCTTCGCCCTCGACTGCGGGGAAGCCACCAACAGACTTGATAAGCGCCAGATAAGCGGGGTCGGCTGCTGGCAGCGGATACAGCTCAGCGTTAAGGCATGCGTTATAGAATTGTTGTGTAATCCTCAGCTCAGCCCCATAGCCAAGATCCTCGGCCAGCGTTGTGTTCGCCAACAGCAGCTCCTCGGCCACATCGGCCAGCGTGTAAACAATGTCCAGAAGATTGCTACGCTTGTGCTGGGACTGTCGCTCCTGCTTCACATTCTTCCAGTTGCCACACGCGTACTCGTAAAAATCATCACAGGGCGCCACGCTGCGATTCATATAACTGAGCATTTGGGTCGCATAGGCCCTCAAATACTCAACATTGGGATTCGCTGGAATGGTGTTATCAATTGTGGCGTCATCAATCTCGGGTTTTGTCTCCGCTGCGGGCTTCGCTACGCAAGTAGCGAATAAAACGCTGACCGTTAAGGCAACAGCGCATATCAATGAATTTATTTTTTTAATCTCAATCATTTTCCTTTTCAACTGCGCGTTTACCCTTTCACAAATACAAAAGTGTAATCTACACAAGACAGTCTATGAGTTTTGATCGATGGATTTGAACTAATGAAAATAATTACGCGCTCTCGAGAGGGAACTTTTTGCGCGTCTAATTCATTCAGAATCTAATTTCAAACTGTGTGGCCCGGCGGAACACACAAATTTGCTAGCATTAGCTCTCGCTGTTATTATCCGCGTACGTCGGTGTGCTGATAACAAATACATTATGTCGTTAAATCGAAAACATGACCTATTCTAAGCGTGGCAGATAACGTGCGTAGTATATTCTCTCATTAGCCAATTTAATGCGGCGTCCGTTTCGAAATTAAGTGCGCGCCACAGATTCAATCAAATTTATAGTTACCAACACCCAACGACTGATTTTTTTCATCGATAGACTCGATAAGTCCCCAGGTAACGATTAAAAAAGGTATGCTGTTTCCTAGCTGGCAAATTGCAAATAACCCTCTTCATATATTTTTCATTTGCTTGCAATGATTTATGCCATGACACTGTTTAACAATTCTAATCATTTGATAAATAGTTGAATGGTTGAATTATTTGTAGTTAATTTATTATTCCTACAATATCAATTTCATGCAAATATATGGTAGCTCGATCAAATTTTCCTTAACTGTTCTGCTTAAAAATTGCCGCCAATATCGATGTGGCAACGCTGTACATATCAAATAGTATTCCATTTTTTGTTGCAGTTTGAATTGATGCACTCCTAAATAACTATGTCATTTTCAAGTGTTGGCGTATATCGCGTTGTTCTTCAACAATATATGGTAAGTCTAAAACACTACAAGCTACTGCATTAAAATTAAAATGAATCTATTATATGCAGTATGCATCGCACCGAATATTGTGTATCATTAAAATACTACCGGATAAGGTGAGTTTATTTGAAAAGGAGGCTGAAAATGACTTCAACTGGATGACGGCGGCTCGTTGGAGTAAAATCGAAAGCGGGCTTTTTCGCTTGTTTGCCAGCATCGACAATTGGCAGGAAGATGCGCCCAACGTAAACACCCAGATGCTCATAGATCACATCAAAGTAAATGTGAGCGCATCGAAGGAACTGCTGCTGGCGGCACAGCAACTACTGCAAGATAAGATAAAGTGTGATTTAGGTGTGGAAATTGTGTTGCATTATATGTCACACGAGGACGAAACAATTGTTAGTCCGAAGGCAACAAAACGCAAGCTAGTGCAGAAGGCAAAGGAAGCAGCAGTGGAGCCTGATAAAGTGAAGTTAAACGCTGTTGGCTCGAACAAGCAGAATACAGCATCTAAAAGCAGGTGAAGATTTGAAAGTGGCGCTATAGCATTTCAACATAGTTTAACATTTAACAATTTCTTCAGTAATTCCGAACAGTCGCAGACGAATAATGCGGAGCCAAAAACGAAACGTAGAGATTTGTCAAAGTCGGATAAAAAACGTGGTCGTCGATCCATTTCACAGGGCAATCACAGACCCAACAAGTACGTGACGCCAAGCACAAAAAGCCAACAGACTGCGCCTCAGAGCCGTGCAGCTAAGCGCAGCAAAACTCCACCTTCTCGGTATATTTACATATAATTTTAATATATATTCAATATAATATCTATTGACCAATTTACAGTTCAACCTCCGTGGAGCCGAAGACTGGACGTCGTTCTGCCCGCTCTCCTGTGAGGCCAAATCGTTACAATGAATTTGTTATGAGGTACATGCAAGGTTCATAAGACTACTTTGTCAGATATTTAATGATACTCTCTTTCATAGCGTTAAATCAACACGCAAACCAAAACAAAATCTAGCCGATAAGTTTACCGACTCCAGCTCAGAAAAGGGGTCAAGCAGTAAACCAGCTGGCGACCAACAGAAACCAACAGAGCAAAAAACTGACGCCCAAAAGTGGAGCCTTGATCAGCTCGGTGGATCTAAAATTAATAGTGCTGCGCTGATAGAACTTAATGACATGCTTAAAGTGCCCAAGCCGCGTGAAGTTAAAATTCTGTAAGACTTCAATTGTGTATGTAGAATACATAAGAAAGAAAGTTGATATTTATCTGCATATTCTGTTTGTTTCTCTGTCAATTAGTCTTTGTTTAACCAGCCATTTGGAGCATTAGTTCTAATACCAGTTTATTGTATAGATGTACTTTCCAAAGCGAAGGCCTATTGATCGATTGTTGATTAGGATGGGTTAACTATAGTATTGCTGCTGCTCCTTAAGCGTTAGTCCTAAATGGCGTCTTGCTCCAGTTTCTTATAGATGCCTCTCATTTGTGTGGGCATGCACTAAAATATATTTGAAAATACATATCATTTGAAATTTGTTTGCAGTCTGCTCCAGGATATGGATGAGGCATCTGTGTTGAGCACATTCGAGACATATCGAGCAGATTTCGATCGCCTGTTCAAGGAGCGACAGCACAAGTATCAAACAACTAACTACATGAGCATCGATCATTATCACATCATGGATATTTTAAATAAAACGATACGCGACAGCATGATGAAGAAACTGGCCGAAGTATATAACAAATCGGGCGTAAGTCAATCTAATTCAGAATTACATAGGCATTTCCTGAAATTCCAATTTGCTCTCCATGCAGCCGCATGGTTCGCTTATCATAAATGGTTTACTGCCACTTTGGATAGTTCGCCTCTTCATGGACAAGTTCAAGCTAACGCAGCAGGAGGCAGTGCATCAGATTGCGGATCAACTTAAGTACGACACCTATCTAAGAGCTGTCAACGATGAGCCGATTAAATCGTTTTTGGATGACTGATGGATCAGCCCACAAATAGTATTTATTTATCTATTTAAATATAAGTTATATCCAATTTATTTAGATTTTTTTGGAATCTCTGTTACGCTTTTCATTCATTTATATCTCTCGTTTGCTTGCACATAATAATAAACTTTCGATTCTTTTGAGAGAGCAAGATTTATGATTCTTAAATCTAAAGAAGTATCTAAGTTGATGTACTGTTGATGCAACGGTAGTGTATCACCTGCGCACATGCGTAGGGTACGTACTCAGTCTGTCTTCCACAATCGCATATTTACACAATTCATATACATATATATATTTTGCATGTGGGATGTTATAGTATGGACATATGGGATGGTTGACCTCTGGTGTCTTAGAGCTCATCATGCTGCTGCTCCTCGTCGTCCTCATCGACAGTGTTGCTCGTATCGTTGCTATCCTTCACCTCATCAGTGTCATCACTGTCATCTTCATCGATCTCAATTTGTTCGTCCAGAGGCACGCCCAGAGTTTGGCGCATCATACGCTCAATGCTGTCGGCAAAGTTCGACGTCTCCTGCAGCATGTAGCCGGAGCGCAGAGTGGCGGTGCGGAACATCATGACAGCCATATCTTTGGCCGTTTGATCAGCCTCATCGGCTTCGACGCGACGCAAGAGTTCGCGCATCAGCGGATGTCTGGGATTAATTTCTAACGTTTTCTTCTGGTTGAGGTAGTAGCTACGCTGTGGATCATCGGCCTTCTGATGGGCGTTCGACATGGCCAGACGCTCCATGTTGCCGGTCCAGCCGAACACGCTGGCCACCAAAGCGCATGGCGAATTGCTCAGACGCTCCGATACCTGGGCTTTGCTAATCTGGTCCTTAAGGGCCACCTCGCTCAACCATTTAATCAATGGCTCGAATGTGGTCTTCAGCAACTCAAACTTCTCCTTGCTCTTCTCAGACTCGTTTAGCTTGAAGCCCTCCTTGGCAACATTTTGGAATTTCTTGCCATCGAATTCGGGCAGTGCAGAGATGCAATATTCATCAACGGCCTCGACCAAAAACAGCACTTCGTAGCCCTTGCTCAATAGACGCTCAACGAACGGCGACTTCTCGACCTCAGCACGGTTGGCACCGGCGATATAGTAGATATGCTCCTGCTTGGACTTCATGCGCTCAACGTACTCGGCCAGCGAGGTGACGCCCTTGCCATTGGAGCTCTGGAAGCGCAGCAGCTTAGCCAGGCGGGAACGATTGCTGGGATCCTCCATGACGCCCAATTTAATGCTAAAACGAAAGAATATAAATTAGTATATTTGAATATAAACTTTTCTCAAAATGTACTTACTTGGTGGAGAACTCCTTCCAGAACTTCTCGTATGTGGCCTTGTCAATCTTCTTAATCATGTCCAATACCTTGCGCACCAATTTCTTCTTGATGACCTTGATCAGCTTGTGCTGCTGCAGAGTTTCGCGAGAGACATTCAATGGCAGATCATCAGAGTCGACCACGCCGCGAATGAAGCTCAAGTAGTTGGGCATCATGTCGTTGAACTCATCGGTGATGAAAACACGACGCACGTAGAGCTTAATGTTGTCGGATTTGGTACCATAGCGATTGAAAGATTCCGATGGCTGAATCTTTGGAATGTACAGCAAACTCTTGAAGGTGACCTCACCCTCGGCTACGAAATGTGTTTGTGTTAGGGGCTCACTAGAGTCCTTAGTCAGACTCTTGTAGAATGCGTTGTATTCCTCCTCGGTGACTTCGGAGGGCTTGCGCGTCCAGATGGGTTTGCTATCATTGATCAGTAGCCAATCCCAGGTGGTCTTGGAAACCTTCTTTGTTTTGGGCTTATCCTGCTCAGTAGCCTCCTCGACCTTGGCATCTTCATCAGCATCCTCAACGTCATCTTCAGTCTTTTCGGTCTCGGGTGCTTCATCCTCGACGGGCACCTCCTCTTCGACAGTCTTGCTGGACCACATCAGAATGGGGAAGTTGATGAATTGCGAGTATTTGCGAATCAAATCGCGCACGGTATCCTCTTCCAAAAAGTCCTGAGCCTCATCCTTCAGGTACAATGAAATGATGGAGCCCCGCTTCAGGGTGTCACCACGTGGATCTTCCGTAATGGAGAAGCTATTGGCATCCGACTCCCAGATGTACTGCTTGTCGTCGTTGTGCTTGGTGGTAACCACAACTCGATCAGCGACCAGGAAGGCCGAATAGAAGCCCACACCGAACTGTCCAATCATATCATTCAAGTCCTGTCCCTCCGATTTGCTGGGATCCTGCATTTTAGCAAGGAAATCCGCTGTGCCAGACTTGGCAATTGTACCCAAATTGTTAATAAGATCCTGATACGTCATGCCAATGCCCGAATCCAAAATGTGCAACACTTTGTTCTCCTTGTCGGCCTTAATACGTATATACAATTCCGGATTCGATTCAAGTTCCTTACTATTGGTTAGTGCCAGCAAACGAATCTTGTCAATGGCATCGGAGGCATTCGAGATTAACTCGCGCAAGAAGATCTCCTTGTTGCGATACAGCGAATTAATAATCAGCTTCATCATGCGATTCACCTCCGTTTGGAATGTGAACTTTTCAGCCTACGTAAAAAGAAATATATATAAATAATTAGAAATAATTATAGAAATTTACAAAAATAAATACATATAAGTAAGTATAATAAAACAAAAATATCTATTTAATGCAGGGCAATAGTAATAAAAAACATATAATATTAATAGATTTACACAAATGCAATTAAAGAAAAAGATCCATTTAATGCGAGAAAGAAACTAAATAATTAAATGGTATTTGATTTGAGCACGCTTGATTAGATTTCATTAATTTATGAATGGGGCGTATACATATGAATGTCTGTGTGTGCTTGTATATATGTATGTGTATGTTGTACATATGTATACGTATGCGTGTATGTGGACGAAGAGCTAAATCCGTAAATAAACATAAGGTATTTGTTAGTCGACCATTCATATCCGTCATATTTGTGAATGAAGTATGGATACTTATCACTATTTACTTATGTGTGTTTAGGTATATACAGAAGTATAAATGTGTGTGTGCCTACCTTTTCGCGTATTTCTTTCAGCTGTGCCACATTAAGACCATCCAATTGAATAGCTTCTTCTTCCCGTTTTAACGTTTCGGCATCTATAGTCAATAAATTAATAAACATGTACAAGAGCACAATATGAGTAAGCATGTATTTGTATGGAGATAAGGGGCGTCAGCATGGACAACGGTAAAACTTATCGCTGACGTGTACAAAAAGAAAACGCTGCTGACCGGCAGGGGGCGTGCACGCTCTGACTCTTACCTGTTCTAGAGCCTTCCTTAAAGGCACCCATATCCACATCAATCGTCTCCACGTTGTCCGCTTCATCAGCGACTATCTGATTTATGCCTAATTCCGCAACCATTTCAACAATATTAATAAATTTGTTTTAATCAAAAATTAGGTTAAATTGCCGGCAAAGAATTTTATGCGTGGCAACACAGCAAAATATGTATTTACCTGCTAAGAGCAAAAGGCCGAGCAGCAGAAACTGCTTCATCTTTATATTATTTACAACTTGACTGATAAACTTCTTTTAATTGGCTTTTGGCCACGTCAGTTGAACGACTTCAGATCACCGACAGAATCCGTTGTAACTCCCCAAGTTGGAGGTTGACCGACCGAACGCTTTTCGCACACAAAAATGACGGCGTCGCGTCGCAGACAAAGCGTATAAATAAGTGGCGAGAGTGTTGCCACCCTACGAAAAGTAATTGAAATGATTATTTTAAAGTTACAAGACTGGCCCTATTAATATTATTACCTAAATCGGTTTGTCACACGTTTCCTATTTATTTTTAAGACAAATAAAAACTTTTGTTGATATTTCATGCTGTCAGCGTCAAACCAAAAACAAAATAGTAGACTGAAATCGAAAGGTAAATATCGATAAATTACGTTGAGTTCGCAAAGTTGCCAGGGCAGAGCAACATTCGATAACTTTCAGTTCAAGCTGTTTTTGACATTACTTTTTGACCGCGTTCTTCTCCCATGCTCCCATGCTTACATACACACACACACACACACGTGCACTCAGCTCAACTTGCAGGCACGATTTGAGACTTGTAGTTGGCTAAAATACTAAATGATTTTACATAAATTCAACATTTGTGTGAGTTAGTTATCATACACCTAGCAAATACAATATATCTATTTTATAATCTAGTTCATTTTTTAGAACCCATTTTATAGAATGCGCCACGGCAGCAGCGTATAGCGACAGCAGCAGCAGCAGCAGCAGCGAGACGCGAGTGCGAGCGAGCAGCAACAAAATCGACAACGTATAGCAACATTTCATTGTTGTTCGTCGTGCGTGGAGGTGGTGCACCCGTCAATTATAGTTTCGCGTAGTCCCATACATCCGCCGTCCTCTACTTACATATACACATACACATAAGAAGACCGCTAACACGGAAAAGGCCCACAACCGTGTTATACAACAAAATTAATAGTGTGCAAATTAAAGTACGCCGGCAATCGATGTGAATTTGTCCTTCAACTTCAACCCAGTTGCGTGCCCCCACATCTAAATTCATCGCAAATAATAATAGTAACAACGCCAACATTAAACGAACGCGAGTGTGTGTGTGTTTCTGTGCGTGTGTGAGTGCGCGCAACGTAAGGCAATATCATCCAAAGTGCGTGCTCGCGCTCGGTTATCAGCTGCTCGCTGGTGGCAGTGCCTGTAAACTCGCTGCGAAAGTTGTGGCGAAAGGCAGAAGCGAAGAGAAATCACATTGTCAAAGCAAAAGAAACGCCAATAACGCAAGCAACGCTAGCGGCTGCTCACTGAACTTATTTTAGTTAATTGTAAAAGAGATTCCAATAAGAAATTTATTTGGGATATCAAAGTCAATTCCAAATTCCAACAGAGGCCAGCAACGCCATGAATATGGATGACTACGAATCGCTGCCGACGACCAGCGTCGGTATTAATATGACTGCTGGCGCGCTAGCGGGCGTATTGGAGCATGTTGTCATGTATCCGCTGGACTCGGTTAAGGTGAGTGTTTGTGTGTATATACAGTATTGATGTTGTTTTTCACTTTTCCAATGAACGCAAAAGCTGTGTATGTAATCGAGGAAGTGCATAAACATAACGTACCTAACCTCAAAATCGCGCATATCTTTACCCATTCGTGTGTATGTGCATGTGCGTGTACCTGTGTTAGTGTGCTAGTGTTTTCGTCTTATGCCTCGGCATAATCGTGATGTAATTTCTTTGACTTTTGCTGCTCAGCAATGCGCGCGTTGCTCGCCGCCCCACCACACCCCCAAAAATCCTCTCTCATTGGGAATTCAGACTCCAATTCGTAATGCTCAGCTCAGCTTAGATGATTTATCTGTGTCACGCTGACCGTATGCTTAGCAATCTGTCTCTTATCAGTCACGTTCTTGACGGTGTTATAAAATATTTTCATTTTTACAGATAAGATTAGCTTTCATTTATTCGGCAGCGGTAGCTAAGTCACGCATTATGATATAATCTAATTGGAAACATACATGATAAAAAATAATATATGAATAATAGAGTAATAAATACGTCAGAACCTTCCACTTGCCAAAGTCTATTAAATTTCGCAATTAACAACAATCGAAACCACTTTGTATGTTTGTATATAGGAATACTGTTGAACAAGTTCAACACGACAATGAGAACTGTTCGAAATGATATCAATGTTTACGTTTTACATGGACTTTTGATTAGTTTTTTGGCGAATGAGCAATGCAAATAATACAAGACTAAACAATATACCCTTTAAAGATATCAATTATAAAAGATTAATGATTTTAGTGATTAGTGATTTTTCACGTATAATAAGTGAATAAGAGAGTTTTAACTTTATTCATTAAAAATAAAGTTTTATAATTTTCATGTCTTACGGTAATTAGAATGACTGTCTTTGCTATCAAATAAACTAAACTAAAATTTGGGTAAAAAAAACCTAATCTTAAAAACCTGTCTATGGTAAAATATCTTGTAGACACAAAAAGGTTATAAAATCTTTTATATATGTACATATTTTTATACAGCTCATATTCCAGTGAATTGAGAGCTACACACACCCACACACACACATACATATACGTGCCTAGTACATCCATCTATTTGCGCACTTAACCATGGAACGTCATTGCGGTTTCTCAGCAAACGTATTATCTTATTAATATGTATATATGCAAATTGTAAATATATACATATGAGTGTGGAGCATGCACTCAGCATGGCTGATTCTTGGATTTAAGAAAAATATTTACTCGTTTGCGAGTACGTACAACATTCACTTCGTTTGCCGAGCCGAGCGATTATTGATTTTCTTAACGAAAACCAGAATAAAAGTACAAATAATATTGCAGTCGGTCGCAACGATGTGCTTGAACAGCTCCAATTTATATAGATGACAAGTTAATGTTTTCCGATTTGCTGTTACCTATTGGGCAAGCAATATATAATTTATAGATCTAACTGTAGAGAACGTGATCACATTGATCCAACTGCTAGACTTTGTGATCCTACGCTTAAAATGATGAAAGATTAATAATTGGAGGCGATGTATATAATATATGATATATATGTAAGATAATCTATATAATCTATATATATATATTATCTAAACATGATGTATGTATATGATATATCATCTTTTGACATTCCCCTTCATTTGAAATTCTAGCTTACAAACTTTAATAGATACTTTTATTTGTGATCTGGAACAAACCTGAAGGGGTCTATCTAACTATGAAATTCGTATATTTTATTGCGTGAATATGTGAAATCCAAGTCTCTATGGAACCCTTGACAGTCATATACGTAATCCAAGTCCTGACTTCATTCCCAGCAGGCAAATCCACACAACAACTTAGCACTGTTGGAAGAGAAGAGGTATTTCAATAGCTGCTAACTGCCTTCCATTCATATAGACAAACAGACGCTCGCACGCACAGCCAATAAACTCTTTGTCATTGCGAACGAGTATGAGAAGTAAAAATAAAATGTTTCTTTTTGCCATAATTCCTCATATAAATATGAACGATCCATATTTGACGGGCGGCTGGCAATTAAATGCCAAACTAAAGCTGTCTAGGGATTCCCGGCGTCATCGACAGACGCCACATAGTCATACATATATATATATATTCATATATGTGCATATATATGCACACACATATGTATAGGTATTTATTGTCACATTGTGACGAGCTTATTTCCAGGCGTTACGACACATTCCGAGTAAAATTCTCAATTGAGCGACAATTAAACAAACAACTTTGTTGTTGCTGCTGCTGCTATTGCTTGTTTTAGTTTATAAATAATTGTATTTCATTTTGTTGTTGTTATTCTTTTATTTGCTGATTTGCCATTTTGCTTATCAAGAAAGGCTTTATATGGGATCCCAGCGGGGGGTTAACTTTTCCGTTGCCTAAGGTCATTGCGGAAGGTGACGTGATAGAGTATAATTTAGTTGGAATTTTTAGCTTAAGAATACTTTTGGATTAATATAGATAATCAAATAATCTATGTATTTTGGATTTAAGGTATATCGTATATATTTTATAGATCATTCGTGGAAACGTTCTTCGATTATGTTCATAAAATATGAATAATATCTATTGCTAAATCCGTATGATATAGTATATAGACCAGGCTGGAGAGTAGTATTAGTCTACAATTGAAGAGTATGGCAACCCACAATACAATGCATCAATAAATTAATCTTGCGCAATCATATATAATATCACCACATACATATGTGTATATATGTATTTATATATTGTCCAGACACTCCTTAAAGTACTTGTTTTTAATTAAAAACAGATTCGTTCGATCACCGTCAATGTGGCTTTTATATTGCTGATTTTCGTCACCTTGAATTGGCTTCTCGTTGACGCTGATATCGTTTTTGTCGACGTTGATTTGATAGTGCGGACTTTCCCTTGTTATACATATACCTCAACTATATAATAATTATATACTACATATATATGTAAATGTACATATGTAGATTGCGCTTTGTTAACAGATAAGTTGCTAGCCATTGTTGTAGCTATAATTTTATCTTATCGTATTCGTGCCGCTTTCTGTGTAATTTATATGGCAAGTGATGCTGTCAAATCATAAATGGAAAATTACTAGCGATCGCCGAACGGTTTTCTTGACTAGCGAATTTCTATTGGCTTCTTGCCAACAATAGTATGCCTTTCCTAGAAATCTATGAGGTAATTCTGTCTGTGTTCTATATTCAAATTGCTGTGCGCTTCAACTAGGCTAAAGAAAATGATTTATTCCATTGTATTGCTTTGAAATTCTGAGAAATATGGTTTTATCTAATCTGAATAGCGTTTTATCTATATAATATAATAATATACTTTCTTGAAAGCCTTTGACATCTGTTTGCAACATTCAGCCACTTGAAGGCACTGATACATTAAAAATGTGCAGTCGATTCTCCCTTTTGTTTATAATACAAATACATACAAATATTTTCTACGTTTGAACTAGATTTCTTGTGAAATTCAGTTTATTTTGTAGTTGCATTCAATGAGTAACTCATCAATACTATAATTTTTGCTGATCTCATGTCATTTGCAACATGAACGGCAACCGAAGATTTGCTGTTATCAACAAAGGTTGAAACATATACATATCTGCTAT